TTCAGGTCCAAAACTGTGTGCCCATTAAAGGCATGCCCCCCCCCCCCCAAGTGCTTTCCCACATACCTAGATCTCTCAGGAAATTGTTTTTGGCTTGAGAACAAATGGCTGCCTTCACCTTGGATGTTCAGCTAGCCAAGTTTTTTTTAGCAGGAAACTTGCCAATGTTAAATATACGCATCTTTAGTTGTTGGTGTGTGCGTTGTTTTTTTTTGGGGGGGGGGGGGGGTTGTTTTTCTTATAAAGACAAGTGTATAGTTAGTTAACGCAAGACACTAATAATACACGCAGTGGACCAAAATAATTTAAAACAAGTACAGCAGCATGAGGAGGGCTGGAGAAGTCAGTGCGCAAGTGTTGTGGCTGGACAGGCAGGGGCATTACCTTTCAGCAAAATCTTGGATTAATAAGACTGAGATCACACAGTAGCATGAAGAAGCCCTGCTGATCTTTGCTGTAAGAGCGCTAGAAGTGAAAAAAGATGCTTTAATTCGAATCCGCTCTACTATCTATCATCAGGTAGAAGCAACTCTCTGCTGGAGGTCCCTCAGCTGCAGTCAATCAAAGACTAACCTAAAAGACCTTTGACAGTTTAAAAAGATAGGCAGCAGTAAACTCTTACATTAATAAGCCAATATTAATTGAACTCTAAAGGGCTTATTAAATTTAGGCCTGTTGAGGACTACATGAGCTGGGTTCTACTAGATTTTAGCACTAATCTAACTTCACATCACTGGTGCATTAGGTCCTATATTTCCCCCTTTATATTACCTCACCTTACACATTGATTTTGTGTTTTCACACTCCTGGCTTCTTTTGATATCTAGATTACAGAATTAGCCCTGAGTAAGGAAGTACTCAATTATGCCCCTACAGAGGCATGGCAAGGGTGGGGAGGAGACCGTATGCCCAATTGGCAAGGCCATCCTTTTGAGGCCTAACAAGCTCAGAAGCACCAGAGAGAAATGGGCTGGCATCAAGGATTTGCTCTAGCTGCTCAAATCATCAAGCTTGTATCTCTTCTGATCATCACCAAGGTAAATAGGTGAAGCACAACTCCACCCTTAGACTGTCCCCTCAGAAACCACTGCTAGTAGCATGCTGGCTGCTTTCCTTATCCCAGGTGTCTCCTATAGAGTTCAGATGTTATCTGTCACTTGCACTGCACCTTTCTGTATCAGTGTGTCCATGATTCGTCCCAAAATTCAGGTCTGGGCTGAGCCCAGATCTGGCATTTTGGTTGGTTCCCAAGGGCCACCAGGGAATCTGACCCTGAATCCAAATTCATCAGGACCTACTTTTCCATGGGCTTGGTCTAATCTTCAGAAATGCTTTCATCACAGAAGCCTATCCCTCCTGGAAACAGAGGCCCCTTTTAAGCAAACCCTCGTTCTTTGGGTTCAGTGTATTACCTACTGCTTTGAAGTCCAGCACAGGCACCCCAGGTGGAAATGAATGTTGCCCGGCCTCTCACTTATCCCACCATGTTTTTGTTTTTTTTTATGGCAGCCCAAACGCTGAGCAAATAGCTGCTGATCCCTTTTGTTATGTTGCATGAAAGGACAATCAGCGGTGAGACAAACAGGTGATGCTATTTTGGGGTGGGGGGGACATACCTCCATGGTGCTTTCCCTGCTCCATCGGACCCATGTCCAGAGTCGGGCTGGGCAGGGAGGAGTCTTTCCCCAAAAGTGGCTCTACCACTACTGTGGGGAAATGGGTCTGGCTGGGGGGGGACAGGGTCTGATTAACACTTTAGTGGGCCCTAGGCAGGTCCAGACCCCCATCCTGACTCCAGTGTGGCTGCCCATGGAAAACGGGGTCAGAGCTGGTGCTAGGAAGTGAGGCTGGCTGAGGGGAGGGCAAGAGGAGGGAGATGGATGGGACTATTTGTGCCGCTGCCATGGAGGGAAGGCCCCAGGGTCCCCACGGCTCAGGGCCCTAGCCACGTGCTTAGGTGTTAATCCAGCCCGGGGTCTGCCTGAGCAGAGAAAGAAGGGTGATACCATCGCCCCTTGTCCCGTCATGTCAAGGGCAAAACAAGGGGTGACCTGTGCGTTTTGGAGGTGGCAGTACAGCAGCTCTGCTGAAGTGGGAGACTCTGCAGCCGCTGGGCGGGGGGCCGCAAGCCCAAGCCCGCAGGCCAGGAGGAGGCTTGTCCCGGGAGCCCCGGGGCTGGCCCCGAGCTGCCCCTTCCCTCCGCACCCAGCGGGGTAACGGGACTCGGGGGCGGAGACCCCGCTCCTGCTCCCTCCCCACGACACGGCCGGGACGCACCTCTTACCCCGCGGGGCTGCTCCGCTCCGGGCGCTGCCGCAGCTCGGCCCGGCCGCCGCGCCGTCTCCTCCCTGGCAACTGGCGCGGCAACCAAACCTGGGCGCCGCCGCGGGAGGGGCCTGGCCCCGCCAGCGCT